GAGAACCCCCCCGAACGGCTAGTTCTCAGGCGGGCCGCACTACAGGCCCGTGGTCTGGGCCATATCGGCCCGCACAATCGTATCGTACCATGCTGGCCTGTGGACTCCGAACCCCTGGCTCAGCACAGCCCACACGGTCATGCCGAGCCAGGCACGACCCGCATGCCATCGTGCGGGCCCAGCCCCGAAAAAAAAAATGCCACTGCCCACATAACCCAAACCCCCTGAGAAATGGTTTCGAGGAATACCAAATGGACAACCCCCAAAAGTTATGCTGCCTCAATTGATTTTAAGTACTTCTGCCCTCCTGAGATTTGTATACATTATAGCTGAGTGTTTAAAAGGAAAGTACCATAACAAAACAAAGTAGAGGTTATTTTCTCTGCATCTGTAAGTGTAATACCATCAGTGTCTAACTGCACAAAAAGCTTTAAATGTGAAGGTAACTCCCGCGGAGTGCTTGATATTCGAATACCATTGAAAATAGTATTAGTCTTGCGAAGAATCCAGAGATTTGAAATAGTAATATCTTTAAAATACTTTTCATTGCATGCAAACCAGATATAGTGTAGAGAAATAGCATACCAACTTAGAATTTTTAGAAATGTAGATTTCTCAAAAAAAAAAGAGTACCAAGTTTAAGAATGCAATCCATCCAGTTGGAGTGAGAAATATTATTTAAATTAATATTCCAGGGTGAAGCAAATAAAATGGACTGAGTGAAAGAGCATTCTAGAAAAAGATGTTGCAAAGTTTCTAGTTGATTATGACAAAAGACAGTTTTGATCTTCATTGGTAGTAAGAATTTTTGTTTTGATAGGGATAAAACCTTGAATAAGCCTCCGGAGGAATAATTGATAACGAGGGGAACGTGGAAGTTTCCAAATCCACTTAAGACATGATTTTAATTGGTCAGAAAGTCTTCGGAGAGAAGTATAAAGTAGATCAATATAAGCAGCTGAAGTAAAAAATTTACCTAATAAATGTTTGGTCCAGGAAACAGATGTATTAGCTGGAAAATAGGTGTTCACAAAATATGTTCAATTTGGTCAATATAAAAATGAATATGAAGACTAGAGGTATTCTGATTACCATTGATGAGGAGATCATTAAAAGTAAGATGAGAAATAGTAAGAGGAATAGGATGAGGTACCGTTTGAAAATTCTCATTATGTGGATCCAAGGGAGTTGGCCAATTTTCTCTGAAGAAGATTCTAGGACTAAATAACCTACTTCTTGAAACAGACTTTGAAGTTTGGGGACAACAAATTTCCATAAAAAAAGAACCATTGGAAGGGATTGAATAAGGAAAGAATGAATGAATTGGAACATATTTGGGTTTCCAAATTTGGGCCCACAACTTATGTTGTTCATTAAGATATCTCCAGGCAAATTTTTTAAGCAAGACTAGATTCACCAATTTTTGGGTTTAGCGGTTTAGGTCTTATTAGAGGATTTGAAATATAAATTCAAATCTGAAATGGAAAGACCTTGTTTAATATCCTACTAAAATCAAATGCATTTCAAATATGATAAAATGATGTTAATGCCCTGCCATCTATTTAATAATAATAATAATTATTATTATTAATAAATAACATTATTTTTATTTGAATAAATAATAATTAGCAATAATAATAGTAATAATAATGTATTTAATATGATTTAATAATAATAATAATAAATCAATGTTGTTATAAATATTTATGATAATAATAACAATATTATTATTATTATTATAAAGCAATAAATGATACTATTATAATTTAAGTAAATAATATTTAGTATTAATATTTATGTAATAATAATATTTCATAATATGTTTATTAATAATAATTAAAATATTTTTTATTTATTAATAATAATAATAATAAATAAATATTATTATTAGTTAAATATTAAATAAATATTTATTTAAACAAATCATAATATTTATTTATTCATAGAATACTATTTTATTTAATATATTTTTATTATTTATAATATTATTAAACAATCTATTTCTAAGGGTAAAATAGTACTGCACAGTTTTAGATGTTTGGAGAATTATTTCACAGTTTTAGACTTTAAATTTATCAAATGCCACCTTTATACTTTCTGAAAGCAGTTGAGTTCATTGAGCAATTGAAGCTACCAGCTTCACCAAAAAGTTGAGTTCTAGACTTTGGTAAGCGTTTTAATTTTGGATTTTTCGCTTTTTCGCCAAATATATAATTTTATTTTACGGCTTTCTAGGTAAGGCCTACCTTGCCACATCAGAAGGAATGGAATTTGATCCAGCACACCTCACAGTCCTATCCCACCGTATATTGGGAACATCTTCTATGAATAACAACACAAATTAGGAGATGTTTTTGATGTACGTATACCACTAGAAAGCATTGTGAGGTTGGTGTGAGGAGCACTCCTTAAGAGCAGATCCAGATCGCATCAGAAGCTACTATATGAAGAGAAACAGAACGAGATCGGCTTCCATGAGGACAAGCCCGTATCCACACCGTTCCAACTGCCTTTTGCAATCTCGCATTGAAAATATCTCTAATATCTCCATAAAATAAAATAAAGCACATAAATAATTCTTCTAAATGCAAGCTGTAAAGGCTGTTCGCACTTCGAACGGGCTGTGCCCTGACTGAAGCCTTATTCACACAGAACACCTTCCCAAACGGGCAAATTGGGAGAACTTGCGGAAACGGGAAAACATAGCGAAAGCAGCACAATCAAAAGCTTCAGCGATCCTAAAACGTGTTGTGATTTGTGAATTCAGATTTCAGAGAACTTGCGGAAACGGGAAAACCGCGAGGTTGACAGTTAGTTACCTTGCCAGGTCAGCACGCGGCAAAAAAGACCGTTGTGATCAGTGGTCAACCCAGGCGACTTGACAGTCGACAATCTCAAAGCATGAGATCCAGCTAGACATTGGGAATATCTGCCCATGAATTTAACATACGTACGGCAGATATTCGAAATGTGCGTCTGATGCTTAGTGAGCAGAGTTTTGCTTGCAGGAGGTCCGGGCTCGGGCCGCTCGGTATCCGTATCTGGCTTCCCCGCTCATAGCCTCTTTTTTCTTTCTTCGCGTATAAAGTGAGAGTATAAAAATACAGCCGGTCTCTTGGGAACGAGGATTTTCTGCATCTGAAGGGAAAAATAGGGGGCCTGATTTCCCAATTCTCCCTCTAACTCCCTTCAGTCGATATCTCAATTTCACTGTTTTTCTTGTAATTGCGTCTACTTGATACGATCATTGAAGCGAGTGTTTGCTGGTTGGCCCTTTTTTTTTCCTGGCAAGCCATCTTGCTTGGATAGCTCAAACTTCGTTCCACGGTATCTTTTTATTGTTTGTTCGAATAGAAATTCTGGGTCTTTCTGGGTTTTGATTGTACTGATCACCTGTTTCATTTGTCAACTTGGTTGTTCTCATATAGATCTTGAAGTGGAATACTTATTCTGTCTTTTGATTTTGACATGTAGTTTCAGTACTGATTGATTATTCTTATGGTTTTTTGAATTGGGGATGCTATTCTTATGGTTTTCTGGTGAAGCTTGATAATACGTTTATTTAACACTTGGGCACTTTTGCAGGATTAGTAATTCGGGGTCTTATTGTTTATTTTGGTCCTGTGATGAAACTTTCTTGTTTTCCGCTTTTCTTGTTTTCTTTTCAATCGTTTTGGCTTATAATTTCTGGGTTTTCTATCAGACAAGTGAAAACTCTACTGTAGTTTCTTTTTCTTCCCCTCTTTTCCTCTGGTTGGTGCTTGAAAGTTAGTTTTCTTCGTAGGACTTGCATCATTTTCTAGTTACCTATAAAATTCAATGATGCTATTCTATCGAAGTTATCGATTTGAGAACTGCATTTGATGGAGACATCTTTTCTTTTTTTTTTCCCTTTCTAATCAGCTTGATAGAAACATCTTCAGGCACTAACTACCATCACCAGCCTCACCTAAAAATGCTGCTTCCTCGACCCGGAGGGTTACAGACATCTCTGTCCCTAGTTTTATCAGATGCTTGTGGGTCCCTCCATCTTCAAGAACCTGGTTTAAGCTCAGAGGATGTAAGTGAGTCCCCAATAGAGAGTGCCAGCTCCCATGAGGCCTGGCCTACTTGTGGTGATAATGCTATTATGGGCAAAAAATTGGAGAAAGAGAAAGAGGGAGAAAGCAATTGCCCTGAACAGTCAGTCATTCGCAAGGTTTCTAGTTTAGATAAGATGTCTCTTCGTGATGTAGCTAGTGAACAAGTTGAGATTATCTCTGAAAGAATGCATTCTCTGACAGATGAGTTACTAGAGAAGCTCAAGAATGAGCTTCGTGCCATTCTTGAAGGAACAGGAGGTTCTCAGCATAGAGAAGAGTTTTTGATTCTGCAGAAGCTTGTTAAGAGTAGGGCTGATCTGACGGCTACTACTCTGATTACAGCACATAGGGTTCAACTAGAAATTCTTGTTGCAATAAATACGGGAATTACAGCATTTTTACATCCAAACATCAGTCTCTCCCAGGCATGTCTCATTGAGGTATTTGTGTATAAGAGATGCAGAAACATTGCTTGCCAGAACCAGCTTCCAGCAGGTGATTGTACTTGTGAACTATGCACCAATAGAAATGGTTTCTGCAATCTGTGCATGTGTGTGATCTGTAACAAGTTTGGCTTTGAGGTGAACACATGTCATTGGATTGGTTGTGACTTGTGTTCTCATTGGACTCACACAGATTGTGCAATTCGTAATGGACAAATTGGAATGGGTCCTTGTGTTAAGAGTGGACCTGGACCCACTGAGATGCTTTTTAGGTGCCGAGCTTGCAATAGGACATCTAAGTTGCTAGGGTGGGTCAAGGATGTCTTCCAAAATTGTGTACCTTGTTGGGACCGGGATACTTTAATAAGTGAACTTGATTTTGTTAGTAGGATCTTCCATGGAAGTGAGGATCCCAGAGGGCAGAAGCTATTTTGGAAGTGTGAGGATGTCATAGGAAAGATGAAGGGTGGACTTCCAGAGTCAACAGCCTGCAAAATATTGTTGCTGTTCTTCCAAGGTACATATTTTCTTATTGGAAACATTTTGATTATTTTACTCATGCTTGAAATGGTTCTCTTGAACAAGTGTTCTCTAATATTGAATCACCCTTTGGAAATAATATTGGTTTGGAACTAAATTTTAATTGCCTAAAGCATTTGCATGATGCAGACATTTGCACAGCCTATTCAGTTCTGTTCAATTTGGAATGGTGCTATTTTTCTTTGTCAAAGGCATATTCTGTGTTTTGCCTACTCTATTATGATGGTCCAATGGAGGTTGTTATTGGAAAAGTTCGTTTCTGCTCTTGTAACACCTATAGAAACAACAACTGTCTCCTAGTATAAAATGTATGCTTCAAATTTTAAGCCCTTAAATGAACATTTGGGAACACCATTATTTAGAATAAGAGTCGTTATTATAATAGGCAACGAAAGTCAAATCGGAAAGGAATATATTGAGACAATATGCTTGCAGGTTAGCTTTATATGATGTTGTGAAGACCCATCCAAATTGTAATTAATTGTCAGAATACACTAGTGGCAACTGGAAAGTCTCCTGGTCCCTGGGTGATTTGAATAATTACCACCCCAACCAGTATTTTCTTCTTTCTCCAATTAAATAAGAAAAAAAAAAGAAAAGGCTATAAAGCGTCAGGACTCAGGATTACTTGTCTGGCTTTGAAGTTTGAAAAGGCAAGAGAAAAAGGAAATTAGGAATAGGAACCCATCCAAATTTTATTTAAGTTTGTCAGAGTACACTAGTGGCAACTGGCAAGCCTTTTGTGCCTTGGGAGATTTGAAGTTTGAACAAGCAGGATAGGAAGGAAATTTGGAATAAGAGTCCAACCAACTTGTAGTTAAGGTTGTCATAATACACAAGTGGCAACCACTAGGCAATTTGAATAATCACCACCCCAACCAGACTTTTTTTCTTTCTCCAATAAAATACGAAAAAGAAGAGTTTTTTAAATCATCGGAAGTATTTGTTTGGATTTGATGTTCGATAAAGCAGGATAAATGGAAATTAGAAATAGAACCCATCCAAATTTTTGTTAATGTTGTTAGAATACAGAAGTGACTACTGGCATGTCTCCTAGCCCCTGTATGATTTGAATAATCTCCACCCTGATTAATCTTTTCTTCATTCTCCAATCAAATAAGAAGAAAATAAAAGGATTTAAAGAGATGCTGATACTTTTTTGGATTTGAAGTTTGAAGAAGCAGGGTCGAAAGTAAATTAAGAATATTATCCTGTCCAATATGTAGTTAAGGTTGGTAGAATACACAAGTGGCAACTAGCAGTTCTCCTGGCCTGTAGGAAATTTGTATTGTAGTCATCCTTTATCACTTTAAATAATGAAACTTTCAGTCATTGATAAAAAAACAGGGAGTTTCAGATAATAACCCTTTTTTCAGAAAAACCTTATCAGGTTAGTTGGACTGTTGGAGATCAGAAATATTAATTTTCAACTTCTCCCCTAGATATCCTGTGTCTGACATTGAGGAATTCTTTATTTCTCTCGAGTAATATCCTGAAGCATATCATATAATGCTTTGCTTCATGGCTTAATGAAGGTTTCCTGTCATATGGCCAATGGTGTATATTCTTAAGACCTTGACATTGTTCTATGGCTTCTAATATAAGCATCTTTTATTGACCAAATTCTGGTATCCATGTTTCTTCGTGGTTACTTGATACCATATTGGTTGATATGCTATTCGATGTCAAGGGATATCTCTCCCAAGTTCTATTGACAAGCTGTAGGCTGAAAGAATATAATAGCTCATGTTTGGAATAATAACTTTAGTGGACCCCATAGAAAAATGGAGGAAAAAGATATACCATTTTGTTTGTAAATGACCTAAAGTATCAATTCTTTCCAATCACCAAGACATTTTTACAGTCTCCATGCTCTCACTTAGTAGTAGACAGTAGTTCAAAATTTTCTTTTCTTTTCTTTTCTTTTATTTATTTATTTATTTTTGGGGAGGGGGGTGGGAATCCTCAAGTTGATCAAGTAGCTTGCCTTTTTGTGGATGCAGGTTGACTAATTTTGATACAGCTTAATGTTGATTGTTTGATTTTTTACATCTTTTTTCCAAATTTTATTTGCCTACTCCTGTCTAGAGAGCGCCTTTCAGAATCTATTTAAGATAAAAAATTTCTCTTGGGTGAGGCATTCTCTACCCTCTCTTTATATACTGTTTTAATTTTAATAAATAATGCCTTACCTTTTTCAAAAAAAAAAAAAGAAAAAAATCCTGTGTATGTTCTGCATCAAAATGGTAATCCAGTTTTTTCCCATTCAGATAATGTTGCAATAAAACTAATGTATTGTATCACATATTTCATTCAAGGTCAAAATGTAGTTTTCCTATTTTAGGTGAACCACCTACAAAATAGAAATTGTTTTTCTTCTGCTTTACTAATGTTTTGTAAAATGTCTTCTCTGCTGATAGAGCTTGAGGTGGATCCAACCAAAAACCCTGAATCAGAAGAAGGTGGACAACTGATAGCCCCACAAGAAGCATGCAATCGAATAACGGATGTGGTTCAAGAGGCCATAAGAAAAATAGAAATGGTTACTGAGGAAAAAATGCGAATGTTCAAGAAAGCTCGTCTATCTCTTGAGGCATGTGACAAGGAGCTTGAGGACAAGGCCAAGGAAGTTGAAGAGCTGAAATTGGAGAGGCAGCGCAAGAAACAACATATTGATGAGCTGGATAGTGTTGCGAGGCTTAAGCAGGCTGAGGCAGAAATGTTCCAGCTTAAGGCCTGTGAGGCAAGGAGAGAGGTTAAGAGGCTCCAGAGGATTGTCTTTGCAAAGTCAGAGAAGGCAGAGGAATATGCCAGCAGGTATTTGAAACTCCGGTTGAATGACGCTGAGGCTGAGAAACAGTATCTATTTGAGAAGATAAAGCTTCAGGAGAGTTCATGGACATCTCAAAGCAGTGGCAGGGGTAGTGACTCTTCCCAGATGCTGATGCTTTGCAAGATCCAGGACCTGCTGAAGAATGTGTACAATGTGCCTCCAAAGGCAGAGACCCAGCCTAATGACCATCACTCCCTTGGTTCGGTCCCTTGAAAGAAAGTATGTGATGTTGCATTAGTAAGATAACTGTTCTTCATACACAATGCGTGAATGGCAATGGTATTTTCATTAGGTTCTGTTTTGTTTTTATTTTTTCCCCAGTGGAAAACAAATATGTCGTTATTAGTTGCTAATCTGTGACCTGTGAACTTATCAAATTGGCAATGGAAAGATTTAGCCAGAAAATTCATAACATGGACATGCAGACTTGTAATCCTGCATGCATTACATGTTTATCTGTGTATTTATCATAGGGTGCAAATTTCAAGAGCTCAAAATTCATGTTCACAACAACATATGTATGCATAAACGTCCATGTCATCTTGTGTCTGGATTACATTGGCAACTAACACAGCTGGTGCATGCCACCTGTCCTCAACATGTGTGTGGGATTGCACTTGTGTGGAAGCCCCTTGGCTACTTAATGTCCACAGCTGGTGCAAGGACAAAGATGAAAGGAAAACAAGAAGCAAGATTGTTGAGGACAGGTGGTTTTCTCCTTCCATTTCCCTCTGATTTTTCTAATCCTGACACAACCTGAGAAGCTAGAGAGCAGAAGCAAATTTTTATCTGTATTGCTTCTCCAATTCTTCCTCCTTACAGCCTTCTAATTTGTTCAGTCTTGGAGATTTTGAGAATTTCAGGTATTTGGTTTTGTAATTCTATTCTTCCTAATTGCTTTTTTCCTTTTCATTCTTCTATTGGGTTCAAATTTTGGGTGGTCTTTGATCACATGAAAAATTGCATCTGGCTTTAAGTCTCTGAATAGTTCTGGGTTGTTTTTGTAGTGCATTTTATTGAAGAAAAGAATGATGAAGCAGAATGTGCTTGTTCCTGGTGTGAAATCATCAGATCAATGATATGATCAAAGTCATGCCAAACATGTCTGTTTCCATCAACCATAAGCAACCAAGCAACACAAGATGGGGTACATGGGATTTCTCAGAAAAAAGCTTCTGAAAAAAACATAAAACAGGTGCCAAAACCAACCCCTGGGTGTATTCCATGAGAGTTTCATCTCCTACTTGTATCAAATTCATGGCTTCTCTTTCTTCAACTGTTTAATAAGAATATTCTTGGATCATAAGTATTAGCATCATCCCTTTGAAACTTGCAAGACTTCGGCACCTTTGTTTTTGTTCTCTTTATTCTCCAACACGATGACCAATTCTGTTTCTTTGCTGGAACAGCTTGTTTACTTAATCAGCTTTGAACATTTTCAAGCAGATCCCGAGTGTTTTGAAGTTCAATCAAATAGTCAAGTGGATGATGAACATGAGAGGCAGTCTTACAAGATGACAAGTCATTTTCATCAATGGGGATGACAGAACCTTACAAGATAATCATGCCAATGTGTGTCATGGACAACGATGGTGACAAAGATGCAAGAGCAGTGAAAATGAATAAATAGATGCAGTGGCAGGGAGGATAGCAGTTTGGCAGAAAGGGTGGCAGCAAGGAGGGAGATGCAGCAGAAGGGAGGGGAGGGGGTAGCTGTCGTTACAGGGCTAGAATTGGAGAGAATGGTGGTTTGGGGATGGAGAGGACAGTAGGTTGTTGGTGGTTCAGCTGCTAGAGTACTGAATTTCAAGAACTTGCTCCAAAGTCCAAACCCTAATTGCTGAGTGGACTTGCAGCCATGAGCGAAGCATCATTCACTTACATAATGAAAATCATAGGAAAATTTATGGTTTGCCCCATCTCAAAAAGTTTTATTGGTTTTTCTGTTTTATTTATCATGCTACCATATTTTAATAGATTCCCCATGTGTCGCTACCATATTTTGTTAAAAGCATGGTAATTCGCTTGCTGCCAGATGATTGCATCCGTTGAATCATAAGCAGAATTGGGTAATTAGCTGCGAATCCATTGACTGAAGTCACTTGCATTTACATTTACATTTAGTGCATGGTTTGGGCAGGAAGTCAATTTTCACAAATGAGCCATTTCTTTCAGCAAAAATACACTTCGATGCTGCCAAAGAGAGAGGATATCTATCTCAGTATCTCTTTGGGGCTTGGGATGCCCAATTGTTCTCCAATGCCAGGAAATGCAAAATGTGGAAGCAATTGGAAGATCATCGTGTGGGAAATAATAAATTATGGCTGGATGGAAAATAAACTTATTATCTCAGGCCGGGCGTTCCACACTAATCAAATACACACGCTGGAAGCCCTTCCAAGTTCCAACATATCACATGCAAATACACTCTCACTCTCTTCCTAAAACAATATGCTATCATCAGATGGACAAATTATGTCCAGATTTTTGGTGGGGCCATACATCAGACACTAAAAAAATACGCTTTGAATCTTAGGAGCAAATCTGTACACACAAAACAAAGATAATGGTGGTTTAGGTTTCATTCCAGCCCATATATCCGAAATCAAGCCCTTCTTGCCAAATTATTATGGAAATTTTTCACTTTCGGCATACTCTGTGGGGCAAAAATTATGGAAGCTAAATACCTGAAAGGTGAATCATCTTGGTGTTCAAAAACACGCAGTCAAAGTTTCACAGATATGATCAGGCATTCTTAAATCCAAGCAGCTGGTTCTGGGAGGATCTATGTGGATTTTGGGAGAGGCTGGGATGTTAATTTTCGCCAGCCAGTTCGTCTCTTGGTTTGCCTCCCGATAGACGTGCTTGTAGCAAATTCTACCTTCTAGAAAGAGGGATCAAACCTTTGATTCGAGATATTTTATAACCTCAATAGTGGTTGAGAACTTGTTGAAGTTTGTAGCCAAATTATGAGTGCAGAGGCATGGGCGGCATGGGATGTTGATTTTTTGAATGATCCATGGTGTGACAGAGGATTAATTCTGATTCAACAAATTCAGTTGGTCGAGTTGCTCATTATATTGACCATTCTAGTATGAGCTGGTCATCTTATCTCCCTCATCAACTTACACCAACACAACAACGGCAATTAGTTACTCAAGTTCAATTGCCACATGGCAAACTATTTTGGACATATACGCCTCATGGTAATTTTACAATATTTTCATGTATTAAATTACTTCAATCTGAGCAACCTAGTGATTCCACATCCAGTTTACTACACGGAGATATGCAATGGCGCCATCTATGGAAATTGAAGTTGATTCATGGAACGGTAGAACCTGTCAAATGCTTTCTTTGGAAATGTGTCCAAAATATGTATCTTACCAACTAGAACGGTAGAACCAATCTACAGTCATTCATGGAACTTGAATCTACTAATTGCTTAATATGTGGAAATGTTGGTGAGGATCTCCTACATGTTCTCTTCCTATGTCCATGTCCAGGTGTACAATCAATCTACAGTCATTCTGAGACGATGCAAATATGTAGAGTGTAAACGATTAATATAAATTGAAAAGTTGGATTAGTTTTGCACTAACAAATTTATCTCTTACTAAACACAGTTTTAGCTGTAATGGATGCAATCACAAATTTCAATAAAGCATATGCCCTTTTTAACAAAAGCCAACTTGAATGTAAATTTACTTCTTTTTTATTGATGTACTTTTACATCTTATTATCAATGTAAATCTGCATTGGAAAATATGTTTTCTGTCATTTTCAATGCATAAATGTAGTGTTGCCAAACACAGGCAAAAGTGAACCAGAGTGCAAATTTACCCTGAACCGGGATTTACACTCCATTTGCATCGTTTCCAAACGTAGTCTTATTGATTTTCAGATGTAGCAAACTTTATTGCTTTATGGTGGACTTGGGATCAAGAAAATGCTAACAAGGAGGATGGTTGGTTGTGTTACAGGGGAGCCTTCTCATACAAACCATTTGGTTTGCGTGAAATTATTGTTTTTTCAAGAATTCAACATTTAATTAATCCAATGAAAGTAATCATGCAAGCACACAAGGTTTCGTTGTGTTTCGTTGAAGATCTGATACCCGTATCGGCCGATGCAATCCCGATTGATACATTGTATACAACTCAAAATTCAAATTTGAATTTAATGATCTTAATTCAAATTTATTTTCCCTCATTCTCTTTTAATACTAGTAACTTTTAAAATTCAAATTTAATGACTCTTAATTAATTATCACATTTAGGTGGCGTTTGATAAATCTGAAATTTGAAGTCCAAAAAGTTAAAAAAGATATTTAAAGTGTTTGAAATTTGAAAAGAGGTATAGATGCTTTTATACTTTTTAGAGGCTCTTAATCCATAAGTTTGTTTGTGTTCGATCAACCCTTTACCATCTGAAATTCACTAATTTTATTATTTTACCCCTATAACACACTATTTGGAAATGTTGATTTCAATTTGTATTATCTCATAAAAAATAATTTTCAACCTCAAAATAATATTGAAACAATACAAATAATAAATAATAAATTAACAATTACTAAATGAAATGATTAAAATTAAAAAAAAATTAATGACTATAAAATATTTAAATAATTAAATAATTAATAATTTACACAAATAAGAATTAAAATAATTTTTAAAAATTAATGAAATAATTAAAAATTACTAGTTAATAAAAATAATTAATAATTAGTAACTTTTCATAAGAAATAATTATTAAATATTAATAACTAATAATTAATAATTGATAATTAATAAAAATATTAAAATAATTAATAATTAATTATTAGTAATAAGTAATTTATAATTAATAATAATATTATTATTACTACTCACCAAACCGTCACTGCAATAGTGGCGAGAAGATAAGAGAGGGAGAGAGAAGGAACCGCTGCCATTGCAACTTGTAGTGGTGGTGGCGGAAAGACATGGGTGGGAGGGAGGGAGAGAGAGAGAGAGAGAGAACCACCACCGCTATAAGTTGCAGCGGTGGTGCGAGAAGACAGGAAGAGAGAGAAGGAATTGCCACTGCTACAATTGCAGCGATAGTGACAGGAAGATAGGGGAAGAGAGAGCGAGATAGATAGATAGATAGAGAGAGAGAGAAGGAACCACCGTCGCTGCAAGTTGTAGCAACGGTGATGGGAAGACAAGGGGAGAGAGAGAGAGAGAAGGAATCGCTGTTGCTGCAACAACGACGGTGATAGGAAGGCAGGTGAGAGAGAGAGAGAGAGAACCACCACCGCTATAAGTTGTAGCAGTGGTGCGGGAAGACAGGGAGAGAGAGAGAGAAGGAATCGCCGCTGCTACAATTGCAGCAGCAATGACGGGAAGATAGGGGAACAGAGAGAGAGAGAGAGAAGGAACCGCCGTCGCTGCAAGTTGTAGCAACGGTGATGGGAAGACAAGGGGAGAGAGAGAAGGAATCGCTATTGCTGCAACAACGACGATGATAGGAAGGCAGGTGAGAGAGAG